GCTTCTCCGGCACTTTTCATGTAGTTTGCGGCCATTTTCTACTGGCCAGAGTGAGAGCCAATAGCCGGCTGCCACGAATAGGTAAGGAAGATTCTAATGGCCAGCGTAAGAGCCAACAGCTGACAGACACGAATGTTAACTAGCATGCTAGCATCCAAAAAAAATCTATATCTGCGTTCGTCACAAATGGGAAAAATTTAAATCTGCATGGCACTTTACTCCAATTGGCTCATTCGCTTGCTTAAACTCAACGTTGATTCTGATTCCGCAGAACTGGGTTGGGTGTGAAAAAGTATTTGTTGTTAACATTCTTTTTTTCATTCGGTTTTTCCAGTTACCATTCGGTTTTTCCAGTCCTTTTTTTAAAGCTGATCGTTTTGTGTTCATTTTGTTTAGTTCTTTTTTCGTAACAGATTTAATGTTTAATATAGAGCTTCGAAAAAATTCGCAGTGTGAGATAGGCAAGAAGTAAGGCATGTAGCAACATCAGCACGGCAAAGGGCACTCCTTTAAGGGCAAGGAAGGGCAAAAATATTTTAAATCAAGTCATAGCGATTGCTGTATGAGTCGTACGATTTTTGAATCAAGCACGGGCAACGCCGGGTCATGCTGCTAGTAAATCATAAAAAGAATATTCTTTTTTTTTCTCGTTTTCGATTACGGTAATTTAAGTGTGCCGTGGAAGTTTAAATGTAAAAGGGGGCTGAAAAAATTGTTCTAACAATATGTAATATATTGCGCCTTCTCATGTTAACGTTTTCGGTGGACATGAAGTGGAAAGATTATATTGAATCCATTGCCAGGTCAGCTGCTAAGAAAATTGGCTCACTGTAACGTGCTCACAATTTTTAGCTCTAGAATCTATCTTACATATCTATAAGTCCAACATTCGTGCATGCTTAGAAAATTGTTGCTACATATAGTCTGGTGCTCCTGTGATATGTCTACAGATCCTTGATAAAGTCCAAAGTAGAACCAGCAATATTATTAGTCCTGATTTGGCATCTCAGCTCCAGATACTTTCCTACCTGTAATGCTGTCACACTGTACCTTTTCTATAAATACTTTCATGGCAACTGCTCGGATGAGAACTTTCCCGTGATACCACGACTTAAACGCAGTACTAGATTGGCGATGAGGTCTCACCAATTTACAATTGACTTGGTTACAACTAGCCTAACAGTTTTTTTTCGCACTTCTCGCCTGTGGAGCTCCGTTCCGTCTCCATGATTTCCAGTCAACTTTAATCTCCAAAAATATAAATGCAATGTCAATCGCTATCTACTATCATCTGCCAATTAGTCTTCCTCTGTTCTCGTTCCTTGGTAATATTTCTCTTTTCTAATTATTCCACACCCAGTAACCCCTTGTGTCTTAGTGGCTTTGCTGCTTTGCTTGGGGTGAACTTGAATAAAAAATTTTAAAATAATATCTGTCTATATCTCTGAGATATGATTATTTGCATTATTTATATTATTCGGACTGTTATCTTCATCTTCATTGCCATATTCACGATGTTTCAACCGTTATAGGCTCCGGCCTTCTTCAGGTGGACGAAATAAAATTTTCGTAGCCAAACGTAAACAAAGAATCTGTCTATATCTCTAAGATGAGATATTTTTTATTACTTACATTATTTACATTATTCAGACTGTTATCCTCATCTTCATTGCCATATTTACAACGTTACGGCCATTATACGCCCCGGCATTCTTCAGGTGATTGGATCTCTGAGATCAGATATTATGATTACTTACATTATTTACATTATTCGGACTGTTATCATCATCTTCATTGCCATATTCACAACGTTACGATCATTATACGCCCCGGCCTTCTTCAGGTGATTGGATCTCTGAGATGAGGTATTATGATTACTTACATTATTTACATTATTCGGATTGTTATCCTCATCTCCATTGCCATATTCAAAATGTTTCGACAGTTGTACGCTCCCGCCTTCTTCAGGTAGACGAAATAATGTTTTCGTATCCAAACATAAACAGAGTATCTGTCTATATTTCTAAGATGAGGTATTATGATTACTTACATTATTTGGACTGTTATCCTCATCTTCATTGCCATATTGAGAATGTTCCGGCCGTTGTACGCTCCGGCCTTTTTCAGATGATTGGAATTTCGAACCGAACCCTTTATTTCGTCCACCGGGGTAGATTGTTCTAGTTCCACGTGCCATGCCTCTTCCGGATGTCTTAGTTATTTTCCTTTAACTCAGCTTTCCAAGTTTTGGTTCACCACTTCCATGGCATGGTATTGAACTCACAACTCTTTGGGTCTAGTCACTGGATCCGATCAAGAATATTAAGAACTTCGTGATATATCTATAACATTTTACAAAATACCTAACTCTTCTTTGTGACATAATTTATAAAATACTTTTGCATAATATATAAAACATAAGCATACAGCTTGTACATTTGTATAGCTCTTTCTGGTATTCTTCTGAGCATAAATATCATTTTCCATGTTGCACTGTCTTTAACAAACCCACACTGTACTTGAGGTGATGAATTTAACCGTTTTATTTGGATTACGCAACCATATATATATATATATATATATATATATACATATATGTGTGTGTGTGTGTGTGTGTGAAAAGAATTATATATATATATGTAAATGATTATATATATATATGTGTGTGTGTGTGTTAAAGTGTATATATATATATATATATATATATATATAATCATACTTATTATAAAACCCAGGTTGTGTGTGTGTGTGTGCGTGTGTGTGTGTGTGTGTGTGTGTGTGTGTGTTTATATATTGGATCGGATTTCCTACATTTTCAACCGATTTCAACAAAACTTCACAGGACTATGTAAAATTAACTTGCGGTGGTTCTGATAGCGCTAAAAATTGAAAAAAACACAATTGTTTTTGCACGAAATCAATTTGAAAACACGATTAAGAGGCATCACGAGAATGAAAGGGTGACAACACATATCGAGTTATACTTATTATAAAACCCAGGTTGTTTGTGTGTGTGTGTTCGTTTGTATATGGGATCGGATTTCCTACATTTTTCAACCGATTTCAACACAACTTCACTTTTTTTTTTGGCAGGTAGTGTTTCTTATTGTCTTGCACACTTTTTCTTTATTTTTACATTCAGAATGCCTTAAAAATTCCATTTACAAGACAATTGTTTATAATAAAATTCTATTCAATCGGTAGACTCATAACGATTGAAAATAATGTTTTTGTTTGCGTTTGGGTTTGACCAATTCGTAAAAAAAAAAAAAAAAATTAAAAAATGCGTGTCCGTCAACCTTAAACAATAATCTTTCTTTGTCAATTTTATTTTTCAGTCTTTATGATGGTCGATACTTGACCTATCTCTTACTGTTATATCCCCGGGCAACGCCGGGCTCTACTGCTAGTTATTTATATATTCCTCACGATACATTGGGGAATTATGCAGAAATTTAAAAAAAAAACATATGTATGAACACAAAAGGAACCTTGTACATAACAATTTATCAAATGCACTAGTCATACACAGAAATAAATTCGACCACAATTTTGATCTAAAGAAATGTCATGCTCATCAAAAGAGAAAGTAATTTACTCAGAAGGAAAATTCTCGAGAGTGGCGCTACCGAATCTTATCAAAATATAAATCTATGCCCCCTGCTTTTGGCAATCTCACCTTTCCTGAAAGAATTACTAATTTCCCAAGCCAACATACACGACCACAAATATGTTGAAAAATCAAAAGGAAATGGTTAAATCCATCATCTTGTTTTTTTGAAGATGTACATCAGGTACATCCATCTCATATCATAACAATCTAATCACAATTCAAATTATATTCATTTAAAAAAAAGAATTCTTAAATATTAATTACTTATTTTTTGCTAGACTTTGAGTTATGACACTTTGTGTCCTCCACATGTTTTGACTGACCTGAAGAACATTCATGAACGTACTCAAATTTAAAAGCCTTGACACACCAGTGACATTCCTCGCTTCTGTATATAAACACGTGCAACAAAATAAATCCTAAATTGTCTTGATAAAGTCCCTCCGAGGGAAAAACCTGTCGACTACGAATAGTTTTTCTTCTGGTCACTTTTTTTCACACACACACACACACACACACACACACACATATATATATATATATATATATATATATATATATATATATATATATATATATATATATATATATATGTGTGTGTGTGTGTGGGGTGCAAATATGTAGAAAAAATAGGAAAAAACACGTTAGGTAAATAATCCGGAGTTCTTTAGTATTTTTGTTTTTATTTAAAAAAACCAAAAAAAACAGTGCTCCATACAGAAGTAGAGCTTAAATTATAATTATTTTTTAAAAAATATGATTCCTTCGCTTGAGGATGAAACAGGGCTTGATACTTTAGTTCAATTTAATTTTAATAATTATATTGAACTTTTTGGCTCTTGTTTTTGAAACATGAGAACTCTTATGTAGCGAAGGAATCATATTTTTTTAAATAATTATAATTATAATATATGTGTGTGTGTGTGTGTGTGTGTGTGTGTGTGTGTGTGTGTGTGACAAAATTCTCATCTATGGACCCCCATCACCGGACAAATTTTGCAGGCAAAATAAAAAATAAAATATCTGCAGGCAAAAAACTTCCAAAGCGTCGGCGATGTATTATAAAATTGAGGGCTTAGCGGAACGATTCGTATTAGTTCTCAAATTGACCACTTGGCGGCCCTTTCAGTTGTAAACAAAGAAAGAAAGTACGTTACATTAGCTAGCACATACTTGAGAAAATAGCTGTGAGAAATCTATTATTTTTCTTATTTCGATTCATATATCTATATTAAGTATATATTTATTTATGCCATATATACATATATGTTTATAGCATTTACATTATGATCACAACTACTGGTATTTATAGTGGTTTTATAACTAAAAAAAGTAATCACTTCCCATCTACGGACAATCGGCTTTAACGAATCACCCTTACTCCCTATTAGTCCCCTGATGAGGTTTGTCCGTAGATAGATAGATAGATAGATAGATAGATAGATAGATAGATAGATAGATAAGAACAGTCTGAGATAGATAGATAGATAGATAGATAGATAGATAGATAGATAGATAGATGTGAACAGACATCGATAAATAGATATGAACAGACATAGATAGATAGATATGAACAGACGAAAATAGATAGAAAGATAGATATGAACAGACTGAGATAGATAGATAGATAGAGAGATAGATAGATAGATAGATAGATAGATAGATAGATAGATATTATTATTCTTATGTTGATACACATTTGAACATAGGTGTATCTACTTATTTTTGTAGTATATTTTCTTATTTATCAATGCGTCTCTGTGTATATAAATCTTTATATGTGGATGAAAGAATGAATTAATAAATGAACGAACGAATAAGAATGTATATTAACAAGTGATTGAAATAGAAGTGACGACTTAACCACGCAGAACAAAATACGGGACAAAGAACAAAAGACTTGAGAGGACTTGAGAGCCAATAAATGACAGTAATGAAGGGAACGAGAAATAAGGGAAAATAAACAAAGATAGAACGAAAAGAAAAAATATATGGAAACAAAGAAAGAAAGAAAAGGTGGTAATAAAATATTAAAAGGAAATAATAGATAACTTAGTAAAAAAAAAAGTACTGGACATTAAAATGAAAAGAAGAAATAAGTAAGACAGCGAAAAAAGGTCATTAATGAAGTGAACGAGAAATAAGAAATATAAAAAAATAAAATAAGATAGAATGAAAGAATTTATATAAAAAGAAAGAAAGAAAACATGGCAGCGGGGAATGAAAACAAATCATAATAATTTCAGTGTAACCCGTATATAAGAGACCCGGATATAAGTGAAACCCGGATATAAGAGAGATTGTCTCTGGTCCCAAATTAGAGCCTGTGTTAATGTATATAAAACAGACCAAACCCGGATATAAGAGGAACGCGGATATAAGAGACTTCTTCTCCGGTCCCGACAACTCTCTTATATCCGGGTTAGACTGTATTTAGTAAAAGAAAGGAAGGAAAGAATGAATAGTGGGACGAAAAACAGAAAAATGTAGAGAATGTAAAACAGAATGAACAATAAAAAAGAAAGAAAGGAAGCCAAACAACGTCAATGAAAGGAATGTAGAAAAAAGAAAAAAAAGAACAAAGAAGAAAAGATATGACAGAAACAGAAAGAATAAGCAAGAACGTTACAAAAGAGAAAGCCAAAGGTAAAAAGATAGAAATAAAATATTGTCAAAATGAAGTGGGATTTAAAAGCAATATAAAAGGCGGTTTAAATGGGGTTAACATTGTAGTTTAATGTGAAAAGTAATGAAGGTCGCTCTAAGTTATTTTGATATTACAGTTGAACCAGAAATACTTCGATGCTTTCTTCTTTATAGAAAATAAAAAAAAAACATTATTCGAATTAATGTCTATAGAAGAAAAAAACTACAGTGTAACCCGGATATAAAAGAAACCCGGATATAAGAGAGATTTTCTCTGGTCCCAAATTAGAGCCTATAAAATAGACCATAATATAAATTAGAGCCTATAAAATAGACCAAACCCGGATATAAGAGAAACCCGGATATAAGAGAAACCCGGATATAAGAGACTTCTTCTATAAGAGACTTCTTATCCGGGTTCCGGTAACCCTCGGATATAAGAGAAACTCGGATCTTATTTTCTCTGGTCCCAAATTAGAGCCTGTGTTAATGTATATAAAATAGACCAAACCCGGATATAAGAGAAACCTGATATAAGAGAGAAACTTATATCCGGGTTACTGTAAAATAGACCAAACCCTGATATAAGAGAAACCCGGATATAAGAGACTTCTTCTTCAGTCCCGACAACTGTCTTATATCCGGGTTGCACTGTAAATGATATACAGTTTAACCCGGATATAAGAGAAACCCGGATATAAGAGATATTTTCTCTGGTCCCAAATTAGAGCCTGTGTTAATGTATATAAAATAGACCAAACCCGGATATAAGAAAAACCCGGATATAAGAGACTTCTTCTCCGGTCCCGACAACTCTCTTATATCCGGGTTACACTGTAGTAATAAGAATAAACGAAGAAAAAACTTTTGATATATTTTTAAGCCGTAATCCTTTAGAGTTGTAGGAACACGGCATGTACGCCCTCATATGTCGTAGTAATGTTTCTTAGGCAAGGTAGCAAAATGGAGAACTAACCTCCCCGGGCTGGTTTTCCAAAGCCTGTAGGACCCAGTCTGCCCTGCTATTTATCCAGAGTTGTGGGGTGGGGGAAAGAATAGATTGATTGACTTGCTTTTTACGGTTATTTAAAGCGATATTTATTTTTTGGAGATAATAAGATGCAAGTTCTACTAATTAACCAATAGCTGGAAGTAGAAGAGGTGAATTAATACCTTTCACGGGTATTAGCATGTAAATGAGTGTAATGAACTCGACCTGAATTCGAACTCGGCTCTCCGATTCCTAAATTCGAGCCGCTATCCATGGCTTCACCATGCCACCATATTGTAAGTAAGTGTCCATCCCTTTTTTTATACAAATGGATTCACCCAATGTATATTTATACGACTGCCAGTGAATATCCGACGAGCAAGACCGAGGAGTAGCCACGTGCTCCCTCTCCTTGGAGGGGTGTACGCGCATTATTTATCATCTCTCAGTTGCGTCTCTGTCCTTGGACAGAGTGCGCTCAGGGGCTTCTCTGTCTGAGGGCAGTGCGGCAACTGAGGAAAATTATACTGAAGAGCTGCCCAGCCCTGGGGAACAGCTGCCCGAGGCCGCGCCCTCCCATTGAACAAGTGGGAGGGATCGGTGCTCGCACCGAGGCCAGCGTAACCGACGGTTGCGGGGTCTGAGGGGAATTTTTGACCCTGCCCGGGTGCACGCGCTCGGGTCCCCCACATTAATCCGACCTTGTGTCACATCTCATTCTCGTGGGGGAATGAGTAAACACCGCAAGACCGAAGAGTCGAGTCCAGAGTGACAGTGTAAAAGGTTGTAGGCACCCGGAAGAGTGAGGGGTGAGGTAACAGCGTTGTAGAAGTCACAGTGAGCGAGCACGTAGACTCAGTAAGAAGTCATACAGCGATACTTCAATACCAAAGACTGTGTATATATTTTGCTACTAACCCGTATTTCTGGAACTACTAACCTGCATTATTACGTTAATACATTATCTTTCCTATATTCATTCCTGGCGTTTGTTATTTATTGGTACCGGATTTCAACCCGGAATCCACAACAGTAAGTAACTAATACATAAAGCTAAAGAGTACGTTGGTAATACTTGATTAATTTCTCTATCATGCAAAGTCTTTGGCCAGGAAGGTATCTGCGAGTTATAGATGTCAAGAGGCTCTTTGTTCGAGAGATTGGTGCTAGTAAATCTGCTGATGAGATAGTAAGCTACGTAGTGTCTTGAAAAGTCTAAAGCGATGTTTCTCAACCATTTTAATCAACGGCACACCCAATAGCAAATGAAAATATTACGGCACACTTAGCAAAATTTTTATAAGGGCATACATTTAAATGTTACGAAATCAAACCACATTAAAAATGCACAAAATATGGACTAGCTTTATTTCAATGATTTTGTTCAACTACTTCCGCAGCTTATTTAGTGTGAAACCTGTGCCTGTATATATATTTTTTTCGGAATTTCTTCAATTTTTGGTCGAATGTGAGATAAGCAGACCCTCATTTCTTTTTCAGTTCAGCGTTGTCTTTCTCGTTTCTTATTTCTTTTATGCTATTAAGGATCGAGAAACCTGATTTGCATAAATAAGAAGTAGAAAATTGCATTAAAACTGATAAAGCCTTTTTAGCTAATGTGGGAATTTCTTTTTCTATTGAAATCTGTTGTGATGATATACCCAACTTCCCCATTCACGATAATGGACGGACTGGTTGCCGATTAAGTACGACCTCAGCGGACAGTCGTCAAGTCTTCGTTGGTTAACCCCTATTGAGGTTAGCATACTCCCAACTCTGTCTCTGTACTTGACACACTTGCATCCGATTATAAACCTATTATTGAAAACCAACACTCGGGTTACTTTGTTTATTATATCTTGCACGAGATATAACAAAATCCAAAATGTATCAATGGGTACCGTCGAATATTTTATTTTGAGCCCTCGACCACTCGAAATGACAATATTTCGCGGCGCACTTAAGAGGATCGCGCGGCACACCAGTGTGCCGCGGCACGGCGGTTGAGAATCAATGCTTTAAAGGGTAAACGAATTAAAGAATTTTAACAAGAAAGAACGCATGCAATATGAGGTCAAGTAAACCAAAACATTGCATTTACATGATTAATTACCGTTTATTGGATGCGTACAGTGAGAAGAGACTAAGCGTAAACTGCAAGAAGACGGAGTGTATGGTCGCCAGGAAGCGGATGAGCCCGAAATGCGATTTGCAGGTCGGGAACACTAGAATCAAGCAGACGTGGAAGTTTAAATATCTGGGAAGCGTTCTGCCAGAGGACGTTAAGCGCGACACTGAGATCCGTAGACATATTGGGATGGCCTCGGATGCATTCCAAAAGCTGGGCAGGGTATTGCGAGACAGGAGGATTTCTTTGCTAACAAAGAAAAGAATACTGAGCTGTTACGTGACATCTGTCCTTCTTTACGGCAGCGAATGTTGGAAAATTTTCTCAAACATGAAGAAGAGACTCGAGGCGACGGAGATGTGGTTCTACAGAAGGATGCTAAGGATATCATGGACCGAGCGTGTGAGCAACGATGAGATCTTAGAGAGGTTGCAGACGAGGGGGAGTGTTATACTTAGCATCAGGAAGAGGCAGCTGAAATTTCTGGGACACATAATGAGGAAGGAGGGCCTAGAGAATCTGATACTCACGGATCGAATAGAGAGAAAGAGAGGCAAGGAAAAGCAACGTATGAAATACCTGGTAGACCTAAGCAAGTGGATGACAGAACTTGATCCGAGGAATGTAGCAGAGGGAAGGAACATGTTGAAAGCTGCAAAGGATAGAAGGTGTGGAGAGCCATGACCACCTACGTCCTGAAAGGACATGGCACATAAAAAGAAAAAGAATTAACGTTTATGGACACATCATCTTCACCCACTGGATAACAAAGTATTCCATGGAAAATGCTGAAGCAATATTATTACGGTTGGTTAGTTGATTTTGTTTAGCGGCATATCAACCCAACCAACATGGCTTACTTAATGTCGAAAGCTAACTATTTTGAATGCAAATGCACGCCTTCAGCTCCATATAAAATGTATCGCTGGCCATTTTATTTTTAAAAATGTATTATTGTAATTTATATAAAAAAATGTATTTCTTGTGTTTTTATATTTTCATAACGTTTTGTTTTTATTTTGGGGTTCACTATTAGCCCATAGCTGGGACCCTAACAGGTGCTACCACCCCCGGTCAGGGTGGCCCATGAAACAACAACAATTAAGAAGTGGTTCCACACTCCTCAAAACCTCCAATCAGTGGCCTTGCTGCCGGATGTAGTTTATCATCATACCCAAGACTAATTATTATGGACATGTATGGATATAATCCAGAAGCTCTACTGGCAGAAAATTGCTTGCATGCGGATAAGAAATGAGTTCAGTAAATATACAATAATAAAAAAAGCGTAAGACAAGGATGTGTCTTCTCACCGGACTTATTCAACTTTTAGAGTGAACCTATTCTGAGAGAATTAGACGTCCTACAAGGGTTCATTATTGGTGGTCACAATCTTAACATCATTAGATATGCAGATAACACAGTGTTGATAGCAGACATAGAAGGGAAAATAGAAAACTTCTACAAGCGGTAGTGAAGGAAAGCGTGAAGAAAGGACTATCGCCACATAGTTGTTAGCATACATACATTCGTTTCTTTGCGACTTTCTTTGTCCAAAGTCTCTTGCCTTTTTCTTAGAGACATTGGAACATGGAATGCGATATTTGTGTTCAGAATATAAGAAATAGCAAATGCAAATGCAGAATAATGCCTGTGTTTTATAGATATTGCAAAGAACTGCTGCAACTGCTAGATAACCCTGACATATTTGGTTAATATACAAAAATAAAAAGGGTCTAAGACAAGGATGTGTCTTCTCACCGGACTTATTCGACCTGTCGTGAAAAAATACTGAGAGAATTAGAAGTCCTACCAGGATTCATTATTTGCGACTACAATAAAATATGTAGATCACACAATGTTGATAGCAGAAACAGAAAGGTAACTACAAAAAACCCCTACAGAAGGTAGTGAAGGAAAGCGAGAAGAAAGGACTAAGTATCAATTGCAAGAATCGAATGCATGATTCTAAGCAAAAGGAAACAATCCCAACATGCAAATTATAGATTGGTGATGCCGAAAGCATACAGGTTCAATCATTTATATATCTGAGAAGCGTATTAACAGAAGAGAGAAAGTGCAACACGGAAATCCGAAGGCGCATTGGGATAGCGAAAGATGCCTTCGAAAAGCTAAGCAAAGTATAAAGAAACAGAAAAAATATCCCGAGAAACAAAGGAAAGAGTACTGTGCTGTTATGTAGTATCAGTCCTCCTATATGGCAGTGAATGTTGGATAATCTACTCACAGATGAAGAGAATTGAAGCCACAAAAATGTGGTTCTACAGAAGAATACTGAGAATACCATGGACTGAACATGTGAGCAACGATGATGTTCTAGAGAGAATGGCAAAAAAAAAAGAAACTTATACTTAAAAGAAAACTTATAAATAACATAATGAAGATAGAGCTTGGAAAATTTGTCTAGATTGAACATAATGAAAATAGAGCTTGGAAAATTTGATACTCACGGGACAGATTGAATGTAAGGGAGAGAGAGAGAAAAAGAGAAAGATAGAGAAAGAGAGAGAGACAGAGAGAGAGAAAGAGAGAGAGACAGAGATAGAGAGAGAAAGAGAGAGAGAGAGAAAGAGGGAGAGAGAAAGAGAAACAGAGAGACAGAGAAGAGAGAGAGAGACAGAGAAAAGAGAGAGAGAGAGAGTGAGAGAGAGTAGAGAGAGAGAAGAGAGAGAGAGAAAGGAGAGAGAAGAGAGAGAGAGAGAAAGAAAGAGAGAGAGAGAGAAGAGAGAGAGAAAAGAGAGAGAGACAGAGAGAGAGAGAGAAAGAGAGACAGACAAGAGAAAGAGAGAGAGCATAGTGAGAGAGAGACAGAGCTAAGAGAGCAGAGAGAGGTTAGAGACAGAATGGATGACAGGATCGATGTACAGGTTTGAGTAAGGAAGAGAATCAGGGTAAAAAGAGAATGGCAAAAAGACAAAATTTATTAAGCGCTACGAAAACCAGTAAAACCGTGGAGAGACGTGATAGCCAACATCGTGTAGGAAGACAGCACATAAAAGAAGATGATAGCAGTGAATGCTGGAGAAAGATGAAGGGAAGAGTTCTACAGAAGGATACTGAGAATACTATGGACAGAGCATGTGAGCAACGAGAAAGTTTCTCGAAAAAAAGAGAAGCGAAAAGGATGCATATGCTTAAAAAAAGCAGCTGAAATGTCTATGAAAAAAATAAGTTGGTTGGTTGGTTAGTTGTTTTATTTTATGGCATATCAAAACCTCAGTGGGTCATTTAATACCAACATTTTTTTTAAATAGATTCATAGCAATAGTTTGGTAAAAAAAAAAAAGGTTTGTATGTATCTCTATCTATAAAAGGCAGGATGTGTGTGTGTGTGTGTGTGTGTGTGTGTGTGTGTGTGTGTATTGAATGCACGGCCGCAATTTTCGACGGATTTGCACCAAAATTTGCACATGCTCCAAGTTAGTGGAAAATGCCAAGACCGGCTTGGCATTTCCCAACTCCTATCGATAGTGGAAATAATCGATTTTTCATGCTTCTACGGCACTTTTCATGTAGTTTGCGGCCATTTTGTACGGTCTATAGCTGGCTGCCACGAATAAGCAGGAAGATTCTATTGGCCAGCGTGAGAGCCAACAGCTGACGGACACGAATGTTAACTAGCATGCAAAAAAAAATCGATAGCTGCATTCGTCACAAGTGGGACAAATTTAAATCTGCATGGCACTTTACTCCAATTGGCTCATTCGCTTGCTTAAACTTAACGTTGATTCTGATTCCGCAGAACTGGGTTGGGTGTGAAAAAGTATTTGTTGTTAACATTCTTTTTTCATTCGGTTTTTCCAGTTACGAGTCCTTTTTTAAAGCTGATCGTTTTGTGTTCATTTTGTTTAGTTCTTTTTTCGTAACAGATTTAATGTTTAGTATAGAGCTTAGGAAAAATTCGCAGTGTGAGATAGGCAAGAAGTAAGGCATATAGCAGCATCAGCACGGCAAAGGGCACTCCTTTAAAGGCAAGGAAGGGCAAAAATATTTTAAGTCAAGTGATAGCGATTGCTGTATGAGTCGTGCGATTTTTGAATCATATTTTTGAGTACAATCCAACTTCTAGGTAATTTACAATCTTGGATTGTTTTAATTTCGTAAAATTTTTTTTTTAAATTACTCACTTGGTAATATTTTGTCCACACTAGATCAAAATCTACACACTCTAACAGTATATGTTTCACCATAAATTTCGCTTGGCATGTAGTGTATATTGGGGATTCTGTGTCCTTTAGTATTAAGTATTGCTGATAATTTTTCCTGCAAAAATTATTGTTGATAATAATTTTTTTTATTAAAAAGCATTTCTGGTATTAAAACCTTTTTTTACACAAGTTTGGGTGTTAACTTTTTGCCCATAACTGGGACCCTAACAGCTGCTACCACCCCGTGTCAGGATGAACCTGGGAACACCAGCAATTAAAAGGTGGTTCCACGCTCCTCAAAACATCCTGATCAGAGGCCTTACTGTTGGACGTAGTTTATCGTCTTACCCATGACGCGGATGTAGTTTATCGTCATACCCAGGACGGACAAAAATAAGAAAAAAAAGGCTTGGAAAATTTGCCATGCGAAGTATATATCGAAAACAAGAGTGACAGAATGGAAAACAACAAGGAACATACCTAACAATCTTATGTAAATGGATAGCTGAATAGGGACTGGGATAGATAATAAAAAGGCAAACACTGCTTAGGATGTTGTGGAGAGCCATGATCACCCATGTTCTGAAGGAACACGTCACATATAAGAAAAATAAATAATGCTGTCAGTGGAAAATTATTACTTTCACAGGAAACTTTAATTAACTGAATGTCGATTATCAGTGATGTAACATTGATTGATTTTTTGTTTACGGATTATCAACCCATTTATGGTTGTTTAAAGCCAACAAAATATTTTTAGATCGTAAGAAGGTTTTAGATAATAATGATCCACTGATAAAAATCCATATCCGGGGGTGGGGAAGCATTATATGCATACCTGTTCCAAAAAGGGTTTTTGCACGTCAGTGAATATAACGAACTCGGCTCTCCGTTCCGAATTCGTAACCTGTTATCCATTACACCAGCCGCACATTACCAAGTGGTCACCCAACTAGGTACTAACCAAGCTCGACGTTGCTTAACTTCGGTGACTGTACGAGAACCGGCCTTTCAACGTGATGCGGTCATAAGCCATGACACCTTCAACACATCCAAGTTTACAGCACCTGGTATTCCCAAGCGGTCACCCATCTAGGTACTGACAAGGCTCGACGTTGCTTAACTTCGGCGATCGTACGAGAACCGGTGTTTCAACGTGATGTGGCTGTAAAGCATTGCATCAGCATATCCAAGCTTACAGCAGCTGGTATTCCGAAGCTGTCGCCCACTAAGTTACTGACCAGACTCGACGTTCCTTAACTTTGGTGAACGTACAGGAATCGGTGATTCAACGTGATGTCGCTGTATGCCATTTCACCAGCATATCCAGGCTTGCAGCAGCTGGTATTTCCAAGCTGTCACCTACCAAGGTATACTGACCAGGCTCGAGGTTGCTTTCCACGTGGATATGGCTGTAAGCCATTGATGCAACAGGCGTGTCCCCATCTTGGGAGTGAGAGGGATCAATGAAATTGCAATGTGCAAATACTGGAACTGAACAGAAGAAAGTTCAAATCAAAATTGGAAAAAATTAAAAATTAACAGATTGCGATTTGCGGTTCATTAAACAGTTTAACGAAGCCTCTAAAATATCCGAGGATCTTCAGTATAAGCTTGTCGGAGTTAGCTCCTCCTTAATTTCTTAATTGTTCACTAGGGGTCGCTCTCACTACACTATAAATACTGGGCGACTTCATGCCTCGTTCTCTTTTCTACTTTGCATTTCATCGGACACATTTAAAGATGTGATCTCTCGTAGAGATCAGCGTTTTCGCCCCCTTATGGGGAAACGCCATGAAACACATATACACGTACGTACGAACATTCACCAAAATACAAACTCTTTACGTTCACATACAAACACAAATGTTAATGTCTATGTCCATTGTAAATCATGTTTTTTTAATGCATATATTTGTTGACATGTATACATCGGTCTTGTTTGTTTTCTTTACATCTTCGTTTGAACTTGAGTCCGCATTGTTCTTGTAGTTGGACTTTCTAGCAGGAATAAACTTCACGTGTTTCTAATTCAACAACACTCAAACCCACACGGTCTTCTACAAGCTGTTCGGTCTTGGCCTATGAACAATTACAGACAGGAGAAGCCGGGAGAAACTTCTGACCCCTGTGACCCATAATGAAACCACCAGATTCCTTCCTCCATCAACCTTATCATCATTATCATCATCCTTCGACTTCCCTATGGTTGGTGGGAACTACATTGATAATCCCTTTCCAAACTGTTCGGTACTGTATTGCTGTCTCCAGATCCCCAATATCAAACCCTGAGTCCGGAGCTATAACGTTTGGGAAAGTCAATTTTCGTGGGAAGACATTTCCATAGGAGTAAGGATGAGATGATTTCCCTGTCCGCAATCGTTTTTGTTTGAGTTTAAGAGAGATTGGTTCTCCATAAATTGTGTTAAGCGTTGCATGGGATCTCCAACTGAGGTTCTGGAATTTTCGAAGTAGATTTGTATATGTTGTTACGGTTTTTGGGGTATATTATATATAACTAGTGAGCGAGTCAGAATGACTTATTTCCCTTTATAGTCGACCAATAGAAGGTTGACCAATCAGAAGCCGCACAACACTGTATTGGTCGTGTATAAGGGCGGCTATCTTGTTTCCTCTACCGGAAGGACCAAAGGCGACCAGGAGAAGGATGAACTACACTCTGCTGTGATATCCACTGCGAACCTAAAGTACGCTTTCCTACTGTCTCCGAAATATTCACTGCCAACCTCTGGATTCTATACTCGAGGACGACATGAAAATGACCAGTCGTCTTTCAAGACGAACAGATAAAAGTTTAGGATTGGTTCGATCAATGTTCGAAAGGTATGGACTTTTAAGCAGGATGCAAGGTTCGAGCCCCATATCTTGTGAAGTTTGTTACACGATTTCCCTGCAAGAGCTATGTGGATTTTGAAGTCTTTTGGGGAATCTCTAGAGATCCAAGATATTTGAAGTCATTAACTCTTTTGATGGTTGTATTATTGAGTGACTTCATCTTGGATGGGTCAAGGGAGTTTGTGATATATTTTGTCATACTCACGTTGCAATAGAGACCTACTTGGTTCACTGCTTGATCAAGCGATTTCGGCGAGGATTTGCATCCTTAATACATTGAGAAATTAATGAAATATCCTCAACAAAGTCAAGGTCACCCAGGTATTGATACTGACTACTCTGATGAGGTTTCAAAAGGAGTCCTTATAAGACGAACTTATCAACGAAAAGACCCAAGAAGAGTACCAATCAGGTTGAATGAATGTTTATTCAAGGAGACTCCTTGTCTTGAGCGCGTTTTGTGCCTTAAACTCAAAACAAGCCTTAAGTAGCACTTGTATGTACGTTACATCGCTAAAGATTCTGCAAAAAAAAATGTTCGGCTCCCTGTACCGCTCCAGAAAGTACTCCTCGTTTACAAGAGCCAGATCATGACGAAAATGGACTATGCTGCCATATATTGGCAGGAGTTGCCCAGTCCTCACTTTCCAGTTTCGATAGAGTTCAAAAGCGTCTCCGCCATCCTGTGAGTGACAAATTATTTTCCATCCTACGAACGCTTTCTCACGGACGAAACTCCGCAAGCCGCTCACAGCTCTATCGTTACGTCCATGGAAAGTGCTCAGACGAACTACATTCTTTAGTTGTACCAGTCCTTCACGGCTAACCTACACACATTGTAGCTAACTGCCCTCCTTGTCTTTGTATTCATTTAGTGAGATTTAAGTTCCACTCGAGTAGCTTCTTCCTACGGACCATTGTTCTGTGGAACCGACTTCCAAGAGGATCTTTTCCCGATCATTACAATCTTAACTTGTTGAAGTCTAGGATTAACCGTTAACTTCCGAGGACATCCGCATAAACTGTGACTCTTACTATATAAACCTCTACATCTACTCCCATGGATTATGACTACACATCACTATAAAAACAAAATAATTCAACGTTAGGAAGACCTGGCCGGAGAAACGTTTATTCTAGAAGAAATGAAGACAAAATTTGATTGTAAGCCCAACACCATATTTCCCTCTCTGACTTAGCTTCAGTTACTTGCCTCCCAGTGGCATTTCTATAAATACTTTCGGGTTAATTGTTCGGATGGGCTTTTGCTATGATACCTAGATTTTATTAATTTAAGCGTAGTACCAGACTGGCATCGATATCTTGCCAATTTACTGTTGGGCTGGCGAGATGTAAGTTCTATGATAACAGTTTCTTCTCACGTGATTTTCGATAGTGGAACTCCATTTCGGCTACATGTTTTACAGCCAACTTTAATCTGCAAAAATTTAAATGCAATGCCAATCGCTATCTACTGTCCTCCTGATTACTCTTTCCTCTTCCCGCTCATTATTAATGTTTCTGTTTCTAATTGTTCCACACTCAGTAAACTCTTTGTAGTATCGTATGCAAATTAGATAGACAAATGTAGAGGGTCGTGTAGGTTTGAGTATTGTTAAATTAGGAACACGTGCTGTTTATTCCTGCTAGAAGGTCCAACTACAAGAACAATGGCGGACTCAAGTTGAATCCAACCGAAGATGTAAAGAAAACAAACAAGACTAATATATATATATATATATATATATATATATATATATATATATTGTGTGTATTTAGGCAGCATCTTTTCATTCATGCACGTTTCATTAAATAATATAGACAAGTATCTCCAACGAATTAAATAATATTTATGTTGGTCACACCACAAACTCGCTTTCACGACGCTTGACACTACATTTGAATGAAAACTCTAGCATTTTTAGGCATTTAAAACAACATGCCTGCCCGCACACACTATTCCGTGAAATACTTGTCAAAAACACAACTATACTTCGACATGAAAACAATAGACAAAAACTAAAAATCCTTGAAGCATTATACATCAAACAGTTGAAACCCAACCTAAACAAAATCAATTATGGCATCTCTACAAATATTCTTAAATGTCTATAATTGGTAACAGAAGCCATTGGTTTATACCAACGGCTTTCCATACTTCATACTTCTCCAATTCACTCTCGTGTGGTGTGTGACGTCATGAGATGCGGTGCGATTTTCGCTTAGCGTCTTATATGCACGTGTTTATCGTTGCTTAGAAATCATCTATGTAAACAATGACAGACTATCATCACTGTCGTGTCCGTATATTGCTTAATATGTTGTAATGGACATCTTTGATAATGGCTTATGTAAGCCGAAAGTTTAGACTGTATTAAAAAAAAATATGGATCAATATTGCGAATTTCTTTCTTCGTTCAACGATAATGTTATTAAACTTATCAGACATTACGAAAAAATTTTATAAAATAAATAGACAACACTTGTCTATATTATTTAATGAAATATATATATATATATATATATATATATATATATATATATATATATATATATATATATATATCAACAAATATATGTATTAAACAACAAAATTACAATGGACATAGACATTAACATTTGTGTTTGTGCGTGAACATAAAGAATTTTTATATTCGTGAAAGTTCGAACGTACATGTGTGTGTGTTTCATGGCGTTTTCCCAAAAGTGGGCAAAACGTGGATCTCTGCGAGAGATCACATTTTTAAGTGTGTCCGCTGAAATGCAAAGTGAAAAAGAGAATGAGGCAAGAAGTCGCGCAGTATTTATAATGTATGGAGAGCGCCCCCTAATGAACAATTAGGGAATTAAGGAGGAGCTAACTCCGTCACAAGTATAAATAGAGAACAACTGACAAACATAAGGGTTATGCTTAGCAAACCCGTTTGCTAAACGTAACACGAAGAACTGTGCTAAGACTGCTACTACACAGAGAGATAACACGCTTGTGTCTTAGTGGCTTTACTGCCTTGCGTGGGGTGAAATCGATTTTTTAAAAAAAGCTAGCGATTCGATTCGACGAACCTGTGACGGTTGCCCTTATGAGAACAGATCGGTTCCAGCACTGCTGAATAGAAAAGGATAACGTTTCATTATGTGAAGCCAACCGGATACACGTTATTTTTCTTGTTATGAGAAAGTGTTTTTTGACTACCAGTGGATTATGCCTTATGACTATGACTTAGCGGATAAAACCGTTGCATTTGTGAATTTGGTGACATAATGCTTGTGAGATCAATCCCTGGGTCGGGCTGTGTGTATCTGTGGAAACGGGCGAGCAATAACTGAACAGTCAGTCAATTATGTGCCATGCGTGATACATGCGTAGGCGATCATGTCTCATTTGATACATGATTGACGAGGCAGATTTTTCCCCGCAGTAGGTTGCCATTTCTTTCTACGGTAGATTGGTTGCCATCCAAGGCTATAGAATTTGGTCTGTCCTGCTATTTACCCATAACTGGGCGGGGGGAGTTAAGAAGAGGATTTTCCCAAGGCTATTAGCACATAAGTGAATGTAATGAATTTTGAATAGAATTCGAACTCGGATCTCCGATTCCTACAGTACTAAACAAAAATAAGAAGTAGACGATGTAGACATGAGCCGTGGGACGAGGTCTGGTTTCGGATATTAAATAAACGATTTCTCTGATTGATATACAGCAAAGGAAGGCCGGCGGATAAAACGACCAGAACGTTTTGATAACAACAACAAAGATGAGGATAATATATAAGTAGTCTAAATAATGATATTCAGAGATAAACTATTATTTCTTGTCAGAGGATTCGTTCGAATTGACAGACGTTTCAAATAATTCACCCAAAGATTTCTTCAACATTTAAGCACAACGTGGCTGGGTGGTCGACTGACAACAATAACAACGACAATGACAACAACAACGACAACAAGATCATTAATTCCTAAATAAAAGACGTTAGTGTAAAAAAAAAAAGAAAAAAAGATAACAAAAAGACAGAAAGAATGAAAAGTGTTACTGTAGAGAAAAAGAAGAGAAAAGAAAAAAGATAAGAAAAAAGAAAGATCGTTAACGTAAGAAAGAGAAAAAGAAAGAAAGAAAGAAAAATAGAAAGGGAAGAAAACTGAAGAAAAAAATGAAGTTAACGAAAAGAAAAAAGAAGAGAGAAAGAAGAACAACAAGAAAAGGGAAAAAATGAAAAATAAGGAAGTTAAAGAAAACAATAAAAACCAATATGACGTTGAGAAAGAAGTTTGTAGATCAAATATTGACAAACTGGAGAAAATAATGAAGAAATATAATTTACTAATTAAAAGGCATAATTAACCTCCATTCATTTTCATTTCATGGCATTTTCCTCCGATATCACACAGGTTTCAGTTCATACATATTCGAAATCTCTTAACTGTCGTCTGTCCCATGTTTTATCACAAATGCAATGTAGTAGTCGCTTCACAGATTTTAAAAGAAAACTTGTTTAGTAGTAGCATCAGTAGGGCCAACAATACGAATAAAATAATAATTAAAAAAAAAAAAAAAATGAAAATATCCTAAACTATCAGAGAGTAAATACCAAAAGGTAAGATGGAGTTAATAAAACAAAAAGGGTGAAAGATAAAGGCATAAAAAAACTGAAGATTAAATCAGATCGAGTCCAGAAGCAAATGTTTTTAGCTCTTCCCAAGGGAAATGAGATCACTACAGGTTGGTTTTATTTAGTTGTGTCGTGATGAAGGGAAGGAGTGTTACAGGTGAGAAAGGGAGAGAAGAGGAGAGAGAAAAACAAAAAACAAAAAGAAAACACGCTTGGGTATAAAATTTGAAAGAAGGTAGAACAGGTCGCCTGTGACAGCGGGATTACAAACACAAAATCGAAATTAAAGCAGAGAATGACCAAAATTATCAGAAGGGAGACCAAATCATTAAATTCGGATTTACCAGAAAAACAAAAAGGAAAAAAGTTCTGAATCAAGGATAAACTATTAGTCATTGTTTGTAAGTTTAACTTTTCTTATATTGGTCTTTTTGCTTATATATGTATGTTCAAACCGGAAATATTAATCCGGGAAAAAGTTAACTGATATTTAAATCTTTTAGAATATATTAGTACTAACTCCCTCGAAACATTTCTACACACACACACACACACACACACACACACACACACACACACACACACACACACACACATATATATATATATATATATATATATATATATATATAGATAGATAGATAGATAGATACATAGATAGATAGATAGATGTAGATAGATAAATAGATAATATTACTAGTCATATCAATATACATATATATATATATATGTAAAATATATATATATATATATATATATATATATATATATATAAATCTATATAAGCAAATATATGTATATAGATCCGACAGCATATATATTCTGTATATTTTCTTATATATATATATATATATATATATATATATATAAATATATAAAAAAAATAAAAAACCTTAATATGCAATTAATGACTTTATATTAACATTAATACAGCATAATTGCATATTAAGATTTTTGTTTGTTTTTTCTGTATATTTTTCTTCATATAAATCTATATAAATAATTTCCAAGAGGATAGAATTCAGGTAGAACCCAATGTCCAGAACAGAGTAATAATATAATAAAAAACAAAAAAACTAACATTTCTGTGGTTATATTTATTGCATTGAATCATTAATCACGATCAATTTATCAGACCTACAAATTCAAAAAATTTTGAATTTGTAGGTCTGATGAATTGATCGTGATTACGATTCCAATGTAATAAATTATAAACCATGGAATATTAGTGTTTGAGCTTTTTTTTTATTATATATATATATATATATATATATATATATATATATATATATATATGGAAAAGTTTTCTTTGATGGACTTTATGCAAATGTAAATATTTCCTAAGGTCTATCAGAGGAAGTAACGCGTCGGTAAAGAAAAGTTTTCTTTTTCTCTTTCTTTATTCCTCTGTTTTTTTTAAATATATATATATATATATTATTTATATCTGAAGGGGAAAATATATGACAAAGTGGAATCGATGAAGTCCTAACGGACGAAACGTACCACAAGAAAATATTTTCCACTTTGTCATACATTTTCTCCAATATTGATCTTGATATATGAAAATATATATCTTCATATTATATTTCTAAATAATTTATGGAGTTTTTAAACAAATTAAATTTGACATAATTGACCTCAATGTTCACTATATACATATAGCAATAATATATATATATATATATATATATATATATATATATATATATATATATATATATATATATATATATATATATATAGCAATATATATATATACATGATATAGCAATTAAAAAAAAAAAATAACTTTGATGGGTAATTCTGAATATGTCTTTGGATATTTTTTAAACTTCCACGTGGTTTATTGAATGTAGCAAAATTAATCAATTAAATTTTCATTTTGTTAAATTCAATTTTCACAGACAGAGAATGAGATATGAAGGAAAAGAAAGGAAGAGAAAATAGAGATAAAAAAAAATTCTAGCATATTTGCAATAGCATAATTTTTTCACCTTTTTTCTTTGTTTTCTCCATGTCTCATTCTCTGATGAAGCTTTAATAAAAGCGAAACATGTCAGATTTATCAACGTTTCCTATTTGTTCGTTATCTTATCCTATTCTACAACACACTCACACAAACACGCGCACGCACACACACACACACATATATATATATATATTGAAGAGGCACGGTGGAATAATGGTTAGCGGCTTGTATTGTGGAATCGGGGTTCGAATTCCAATCGAATCCATTACGTGCTACTTGGGAAAGTAGCATGTAATGGATTCTTCTCCCTTCAGCTATGGGTAAATAGCAGAACAGACTGGGTTGGCAGCTGGATGTCAACTGGTCTACCGCAGAAAGAAATGGCTACCTACTGCAGGAAAAATCTGCCTCGTCAGTCATTTATCGAAAGATACATGATCTCCTAAGCGTGTATCACATAAAGCAGTTATCACATAACTGACTGAAATGGATGTTGGATTCCGTGTGTCCTGTTGATTCCGTGTGTCCCGTTGTTGTGTGCTTTTTTTTTGGTCCTGTTGATGTCCGTTGTTGTGTCCTGTTGATTCCGTGTCCTGTTGATTCCCCCTGTTGTTGTGTGTTTCTTTGGTGGATTCCATGTGTCCTGTTGATTCCTTTTTGATTCCGTGTGTCCTGTTGATTCCGTGTGTCCCGTTGTTGTGCGCTTCTTTGGTGGATTCCATGTGTCCTGTTGATTCCTTCTTTGGTGGATTGCGTGTGTCCTGTTGATTCCGTGTGTCCCGTTGTTGTGCGTTGCTTTGGATTTCGTGTGTCCTGTTGATTCCATGTGCCCCGTTGTTGTGTGTTTCTTTGGTGGATTCCATGTGTCTCGTTTTCACGTATCGGTGAGTGCCGTGTCAAATTCTTTACCAATTTTCTCATAGATATAGGAAATACGGGAAATATTTTGAATGTTTCACACTCAAATACATTACTCTGTATTATAGAGACATGGTGCGCCAAGTACTTAAGAATAAACTAACAGTACTAAGGTAGTACAATTTAACCGCTTCATTTCTCATACCAATGATTACAACTCTATCCTTTAGATCTTAAAATAAAGAATTCTTCATCAGACTGGCGCTGCAGAATCACAAGGTGTTTTAGAAAATAATGGAAACCAGATCACTTGAAGGCTTACGGCCACATCACGTTGAAACCCCGGCGCTCGTACGATCGCCAAAGCAACATCGACTCTGGTCAGTATCTAGATGAGTGACAGCTTGGGAATACCAGGTGCTGTAAGCTTGGATGTTCGGAATTGTTAATCAGAGAGCCGAGTTCCAATTTCAGTTGCCTTCGTCATATTGACATACGCGTACATACCCTTAGGAAAGGCATGAATCATCTTATTGGTTCCTTCCTAGAATGGTGACCGTTTCGGAATAACAGGTGCTGTAAGATTGGATGCGCGGTATTATTAATCAGAGAGCCGAGTTCCATTTTCATTTGGTTTCATTATATTTTCCTACGAGTAGTGGGGAAGACACCTATTCTCTCCCCAGCTATGGGTTAATTAGTAAGACTTATAAATCATTATTATCCCCCACCAAAAAAAAAAAAAAAAAATCTTACAATATAAAAATATTTTCTGGCTTTTAATAACCTTTCAGAAGCCGTAGAAAACGAACCAATCACTTTACTTGAGGACTTTCGACGACAGTACCAACTAAAATAGTACACGTAACTAGGGGTGGAGAAATAATGACATAATCAAGATGTTGCTTTTCCGCATATATACAACAAAAGGTTAGGAAGGAAACGCCAATCAATATTAGAAACAGCGGTTAGTGAATTTGAATAATCCTTTTTTTTTTTTTTTTTTTTTATTTTGAAAACCCTGTTTTAAGAGAAAGATTCTATGAAGTTCATCCGACAGTATTACTAAATGTTCGGCCAGTGAACTTCGAAAGTCAAAAGCCGGGTGTTTCCTGAATGTAAACTGTTATTTTATCAACATTACCAAAGGTATGCCATTAAGTTTCTTAATTTTCTTGGTATATTTTGTTTTTCAATACCCATTCTGTTTTAATTTAAGATACTTATAAATGGGTAAAAAAAATGGTCTTATTTAGAAAAGCCGAATAAATCGAGCAATATTAAGTAATGAATTTCAAAAGCGATAAGCTATATTTTATCACGCATATATATATATATATATATATATATATATATATATATATATATATATATATATCTTCAGTAATTGCACAACCTGAGTTTTATGCCGAAGCAATTTTCAAGTGCTAGAATTATAATATTTATTTTTATTTCTATTTATACGTTGAGTCGACCCAACATATCGCTCGTTCGTATACCTACGTATATTTACCCATTAGTTTATATATATAATATATATATATGTGTGTGTGTGTTTGTGTTTGTGTGTGTGTGTATGTGTGTGCATATATATTGATATAATAGATAAGAACCGTTAGATTGATGATCCGAAGTTCTTTAGTATTTTTGTTTTTCTTTTTAAAAAACAGTGGTCAATTCTCAAGTAGGGCTTAGATTATAATTATTTTTTTTTAAATATGATTTGCATCGCAACACAGAAATTACTATATTTCTAAACTGGTCAGCAGTATTTAAGTTTAATTCCAATTCGAATTAAACTTAAATACTGCTGACCAATTTCGAAACAGTAATTTCTGTGCCGCGATGGAATCATATTTAAATATATATATATATATATATATATATATATATATATATATATTTTGAACAATAAGAAAATAAAAAATTAAAAAATTAAAAAATTAAAATCATTAGACACACTGGGTTGTAGATTAATATTCTTTCGTTTTTTTATTATTATTATTCCATTTAGATTCCTCGACTAGTTTCGACCGAAATGGCCATCATCGGGAGGAGAAATATTTCTGCTTGCTGTTGGCAGTGAACTACAGAAATATATATATATATATATATAGGGCCGAATTTTATTCTGACATCATTCTGGGGGTCTTACTTTTTTTGTCCAAATCCGTGAATTTGTTTTGGTAATTCTCGAAAATACTCTATACAAATTTAACTACTTTTTATCCGTAATGTTGAATGTGTTAAACTTAACGGTATTCGAATTTTTAACAAATAAAAAATTCAAGTTGATGTTAAAAGTTGACGCAAAACATGGTTGATTTATTTAAGATCGAACGATCTGTTTTGACATGTCTCTAATTTGCATTTACATACATTGCATTTGTTTTCAGTTTTTCTAGTTGAATTGTTCACC